GCTTCATAACTTATTTATAAATTCATTCACTGTATGACAAGTTTTAATGTGCTTTTAAACATTGTCAGTAATAGTAGTGGACTATCGCTGGGAGACTTGAATGGAGCACAGCTAGCATAAATGTTGTTAGCAGCATTTTTCAAAAGCTGTCCGCTGTGATAAAAGTCTTTCTCTCTGGAACATATCTGTACTTTCTACCTGCAGCTGGTCCTCTGTTACCTTTGCATGTGTTCTTCTTTTCATGCTTGTGAACTGTCCGATGCTCACACTCACAGTTTCAGTTTAATTTACTGCCCACAATAAACATTTATTGTCCACCAATGAAACTCAACCTTTGTATGGTTTTTTTCAGTCCTTTGTTGGGCAGCCAGCCGCACCAGGATCCAGACCTGGTGTCTCCAAACCTGAGGCCGAGACACCAGGAACTGATCCCAACACCATGTGGACCGGTGAGATGCTCAGCCCTTTATTCCATCAGCATTCATCGACACTGTGACTGGAAAAAAATTATTAAGAAGTTTGTTTGCTGTGGCTAAGTCTGTATAGTTCTCCTTTGTCAGTTGTGAACTTGGTCTTTAACTTGCTACGACACGCAGACATCGTGGTAGAAAGAGACAGTTTTAACCTTGTCAGAGCTTGTCTCACATTCCTCGTCCTCTCCGATCTCCACCATCTTGCAGATAAAGCCCTGGTCCGAGCTGTCGGGCCTTTTGAGGCTCTATTTCTGCTTCAGCACCGTGTCTCTGCTGGCGCTGCTCGGCCTCACAGCATCCAGCATCTACAAGCAGCACATGGACGCAGAGGTGTCTGATGAGGACAACTTCACCGTGTCTCTCATCCAGCTGGTCGGGATACGTGAGTGCCAGTTTACTGTAAATGCCTTCAGGAAGTGATTTTGAACTGTCTGACGGTTATGACTAAAAGCAGAAGTCTTCCTGTCGTAATCACGTGATGAAAACTGTGGAGCAGGGAAATGTAATGGTGGTGCCATTCTGTACATTCTCACATGAAATGATCCCATGGTGCCTGTGGGTTACTGGTGATTCAGTTCCCTCCTGATAGCTTTACTTCCTCATTTTCTACATCAACCATTAAAAAGCAGCAGCAGAGTGTCAGAACACAAGAAGATGAGCGGCTTCTGCATTCACTCGGACCTGTGAGAGTTTACAAGTGTTGAGCAGTGGGCGATTAAACCTCCACCACAGGTCCACAGGTTCAGCTTTTACAACATTGCAGCTTTATTGGGGCACAAATTAATATAAAAGAAATTAGATCATTCTCTAGATTCAGTTCTTGTTTTTTTTTGCGGTTCAGACTTTGTTAGCTGTTATAATACATATTAGTCAACATTGTTGGCATTTTATACACTGAATGCTTCGTTAAACATTTAAAATCATCTATAACTTCATCAACAGTGGGAACATTTATAGCTGCAACGTTACACAATAATACAGCAGATACAGACAACCACAATGAGCAAACCAAAGTAATGAAAACAGCATGATGAAGCTTTACAGCCAGAAATATGTGCAATAAAAAAACATGATGTAAGAGTGCAAATACAAAGACTGCAATGCTGAAGTGACGACTGTTGTGTGTGAGATCTGCCTGATCTTGTCTCCTGCAGTGTTCTGCATCTACTACATCAGCCGTGGCGTGTTGCAGGAGAACCGGCAGGAACTGGTGGCGTTTGTGCTCACCGTCTTGGTGGTCATGATTCGGTCGGTGGTTAACTTCTCCGTGCTGGGGTCGAAGGGCAAGCAGGAGCTGCTGGTGGGTCGCTCTGACACGAAACATTAATAATCACTTCCGGGTTCTCCGGCTTCCTCCCACAGTCCACAAACATGCTGAGGTTAATTGGTGATTGTAAATTGTCCGTAGGTGTGAATGTGAGTGTGCTTGGTTGTCTGTCTCTAAGTGTAGCTCTGTGATAGACTGGTTACCTGTCCAGGTGAACCTGCCTTCACCCTGAGTCAGCTGGGATAGGCTCCAGCCCCCTCCACCCTAGTGAGGATTAAGGTGTAGAGATGATGGGTGGATGATTAAAATGAAGGAACATCTACACATATTTGGACGTGCAGGCACTGAAGGTTACACACTGCTTTTTTTTTAACGACCTTATTTATGTTTCTTTGCTGATTTATTGACTTTTTAAAATGGATTTACAAATCAAACTTTACAAAACAGTTCAGGATATAATGCACATGATTACATTAGACTTTGGTGCAGACCTTTGAATTCATCACCTTCACCACAAACAGACCGTAATGAGTTAAATATACAGTCTAATATCAGGCAGCTCATGCTGTAGATCATTATGGTCTGGCTGCACCACGCTACCATTCTGGCTTGTTTGCATTTCTTCACACTGATCACGGTCATCGTGGGCAGAGCGAAGGAAGAGCTGCAACTTTGGTGATCGCTCCAACATCGCGATGGCTGAAATTGTTGTGGTGGAAGATTCACATGCAAGGAGACGAGAACTGGGAATAAAATCCTTATTGCTCGATCCTTGGCCAGACATTTATGATATGTTGCTGCACATAGATAGTGGATGAGGAGGAGGATGCCAACAGAGATTATACACACAGCCGACATCCAGGGAGTCAGACTAGGCAGCACCGGACTTTGTCTTTTTCTTAACTCCTTAAATTTGCTTCTTTCTGTTAGTAAATTTAAATAAACAGGGCCTAATAGACAGCAGTAAAGACTATCAATAAATCATCATATGTGGCACTGTAATAGTGACGGACACTTTGTTTCAGGACTGAGCTTTGACTCTGACCCTGACCTTGTAAAGTGAGGCGGTTTCAGGACATTTCTTACTCCTGTCACATGTTCACTCACTGTGGGTTTGTTTTTCACTCCAGTATGAAGTCTTTCTCCTCTACAGAAGCAGCACAATCATGGCTAGATGGAACGTCTCCTTTGCCAAAGAATTAATGAAAGTTGAATTGTATTTTAATTATTTATCACAACAAATTTGAGTAATAAAACTGGAATCTACATGTTCACATTTTTCCAAGTTCCCCGGGTTGGAGGCTCCACATACTGCGGCTAGGCTATTCCACTCGGCCTATTTACAGTTTTACAACCTCTACAAACACGACTGCACATCAACCCTAGAAAGATGTTTCACCATGTTGAACATCTCATTCAGCAACTTGCACCTGTGTACTGTATACTGTGCAGTAAAACAAAGCTAACATGGCATAAATCGGAAAAAAAAGAAAAAGCAAAAATGTTCTAAATGTACAAAAATTAAAAGAAAACAAACAAACGTGGAACTCACGTGTACATCATTTTCTCGAGTGTCTCTGATCTGCTTTGTGTGAACAATCAGCCCAGGAGTCCCTTTTCATGTGTTTGGTTTCAGAAGCCTTTTTATTACTTGTAAAAAAGAAACCCACACATTTTAAATTATTTTTTCCCTACAACCTCTGTCCAGAAGACAAAGCAGGCTGTGTTTCCTCAGAGCAAAAATAAGCTTTCTTTCTGTTGGGAGGAGTCACGGCTCCACCACTAGATGTCGCTGTTGTATCAGCTCCAGCGTGTTGTGATCATAGATTTAGATGTCCTGAGTGAATGTAGAGAGCTGCACATTCATGTTCATGCCTGGATGCTCCTCTAAGTCATCATTTGCCTTAATGTGGTGAAAGATGGGACGTTGTGAGGAAATTATTTTGGGAGAAAACGACCCTGTTAGTGGCAAAAAGAATGTAAAGCCCTGACAGTTCCAGTGTAGCCTGCACATATTTCCAAAAGTCCTTTAATAAATCTATGAAAGAATACAAATTGTTTTTTGTGATGGAGACGTTGCAGTCGTTCCATTAAAACCAGTAGAAACCCAAGACTTCCATGATACATGTGGTCTTCACAAGTGTCTGTAAACTTTTGTTCCTCGCTGTAGTTTGCTGCTTGAAGACTGTTGTTGTGTAGTGAAGTTATGACAGCAGGACTGCACAGAGCTGAGTCAGATTAGCCAACAAGTGGCTGCTGTATCACGGGTTAGTTAGATGGTATGTAGAATCTGGATCGAGTGCAGTTACTGGAGGAAACACAGCCTGTTTGTTTCTCTGTGAATGTCAGGCCGTCCACCACGTTGGAACGGTTTGGTGAAAATACGTGACTGTCAAAGTAACTGAACCACTGAATGCATTGGCATGACTTCTGGTTTAGATGTTTGTGTCCCTCTCAGGATGAATTGGAATAACTTTAACTTAATTTTATTTAGCAGCATCATCCAGTTGAAATTCCAGTGTTTCCTGTTTGTCCAATACTACGGTAAATGAAATGAAAGTTGATGCCAAAATAACGACATGTCAGCTTTATCTATACCTGTTTATTAGGAAATGTTTGAAATTACACCAAGACAGTGACACATAGTGAACGTTGATGCTGCTTGTGGAACGTTGTCCCACTTCCTGAAGGGCTTGGCGTAACGTTTGAGGGTCGGATGTGTTCATCCTGAGCTCTGAAAACCTCTCAAACTATTTCTCAGACAAAAAAAAATGGGATTGTGGCTTCATGAAGCTGCTATAGACACACCAAGCACCAATCCAGAACATTTGGAGTCACCAGAGTTCATGAGTGAATGTGAGTGTGCTTGGTTGTCTGTCTCTAAGTGTAGCCCTGTGATAGACTGGTTACCTGTCCAGGTGAACCTGCCTTCACCCTGAGTCAGCTGGGATAGACTCCAGTCCCGAGTGAGGATTAGGCAGTGTATATATAATGCATGGCGTTTTAAACCAGATGTCAGATGTGGGATGAGTTTATCACATATACACTCATAGTTACCTATAAATTAATGAATGTTTTATTGTTTTTTTTGTATGTAATGTTTCTTGAAAGGATCGTAAAGTTAAAGCATGATCTTTGTGTCTCAGGTTCGTTTCGTGTGCATCATGTGTCTGGGTGTCGTGCACGTCTTCTGCACCATGCTGCTCATCCGGAGGCCCAACATGATGGCGTTCCGCGTGGGTGGAGCCTTGGAGAGCCTGCAGGAGCAGTATTTCCTGCTCAACCTCTGTTTCTCCATGGTGACCTTTGACCTGCAGGCTCAGGTACGTTCATGCACACGAACACATGACGGGCAGCTTCCCTCGTACGGACAGCAGGACTGGTTCCAACAAATCCCTTACTTATTTTTTAGAATTGCCCCAAATCAGAGATGCTGGACTGATGTTGTTACAGGACCTCTGTGTTTGCTGAAACATGGCAGCTCATCTTCAGCTGAGTTTTTACTTTGCAGATTACAGACATGACAGATTAGGATTAAAATCACAGACGTCCTCCACATTTATTACAAACTCCTAGAAGCCCCAGGTTCTACCAGTTCCAATGCAAATAGGACTTAAAAGTTGGCTTTGCTGCTGCAGATGAAATGTCTGTGACTCACTGTGTTCAGCGTCGGAGGTTCACCACAGTTCCTGGAAAGACTCTGAGCAGCTGGTTGCAGTTGTTTTGAAGACGTGAAGTAATTATGGTGATGAGAACGGCACGAGATCAGGTTTTTCAGGCCAGATATCATTCTCATCACTGACAGCCCGACACGTGACTGCAGTCATTTCAGGTCTGTTTATGCTGTTGGAGGAACTGGTTTCTGTGGCACCTTTCTCCTCCGTGTTATTACTACAACACGACTGACCGCAGAGCAGATGTCTGGCTGCAGTTAAGTTCTTCAAAGGAGAGCTGTTGAGTGGCTTTACTGATGCTGTGTTGTCGGTGTGGCCTTTCCAGCTGTGTCTGTGCATCCTGATCACGACGTCAGACTCGGCCATGTCCACCACCAACAGCATCATCCTGGGCGTGGGGGTGATCTGGGCCTGCCTCACCGCTGCTGTGGGAGCTGGTGCAGTGAGTGCTCCTCGTCCATCTTCTGGTCACACCAAGAGACAATCAACTGACTCATAAGACCATCATTAGAGATACAGTCAAGAGCACATGTGGTTGTAACCCCTTGCTTTTTTTTTGCAGGTGTTGAAGGAGTCCAAGGGCTCGGTTTGGGCCTTCATGGTGCTGAGTCTTCCTCAAGTCGCCTTCTTTGTGTATCTGCTGTACACGGTAGGCCGACAGGAGCATTTCTCTGAATCAGTATCAGGAGTATGGGCTTTTATAAGTGCACTGGCTCATACAGATGCTGATCCATGGATGGTTTAAGTCCTTTTCAGACATTAAATACATAACATTGCTGCTTCATCTATGTGCTGACATGCAGCCAGGTCCATAAATATGTGGACATTGATGCAGTCTTCAGCATTCTGGTTCTGTACACCAACACAACGGATGTGAAATGAAACAACCAAAATATTCTTTAGACTTTCAGCTTTAATTTGAAACAGTTTACATCTAAATCAGGTGAACTGTGTAAGAATTACAACACATTTAATATGTGGCCTCCACTTTTTTTTTAAGGGACCATGTATCTGTTAATGTTGAACATAATAAGACAGCGCTCCCACGTCTAACCTTCCACTGTGAGAACAGTACCCAGGGCGCTCATTCAGACATGAAGCCCACTCGTTCAGGTGCCTGAAACCCCAGAAGTCTGAATTCATGTTTCTGAGATGGTCACCAGTCCGCTGGGGTTTCAGAGTGAAAACGACCGGCTGTGATGCTGACTGCAACATTCGGACATGTTAAAAAGGAGAGGGTCTCACTTTAAGAAGTCTTTCCTCAGGTGGCTCCTGCTGAAGGGTTGCTGCTGCGATAGCTCACCTGGTTGAGCTGGCGTCCCAGGTACACGGGCTAAAGTCCCTGATGCAGTGGGTTCGAGTCCGGCTCATGACACTTTGCTGCATATTCTTCTCCCCGACTTTCCGGTCTCTCTCTTCACTGTACTTTCAAATAAAGGCAAAAAACGCCCCAAAAAATAACTAGATTATAGCACACATTAGTCAGACATTAGTACATGTGATGATTCAGTGACTGTTTACAGGATGATGGATTCAGTGTAGTGACTCTACATGTCGACATGATGCGTTTTTAACAGTGTTTAAACCAAAAACTGAGCTCTAGTCCACAGCTGTTTCACTGTCGGACAGTCTTGGTTGCACCACTAAAGTTTTTATATTGATTCGAGACACTGGGAGGCAGATTGGTTTACCTGAAGACAGAGCACTGTTTCCATTGTTAATGCTAAGCTACGGCTAACCGGGTGCTTCATTGTGGAATCAGTTTTTTTCATCAAACTCTTGAAACAAAGCAAAGTTTTCCAAAATGTCAGAACTATTTCTTTAGGTGTAAGTTATGTTGAGGAACCAGCAGACGTCAAATCGTGCAGAACAAGTACACGATGGTATGTAGAGTAGATGAAACTTATATTTATGTGCTGCCTCCAGAACACTGACACGTCGGTCTCACTGATGTCACGTTGAATACTCGTGTCGGCTGTTTGGGATGAGCTGTACACTTTGAAATGAACCTCTGCAGTGAAGTAATGTGGTTTTGCTTTAATTCCAGGTTGTGGAGAAGTGGTTCCACGACAACACGTACACTCTGGAGGCAGCCGCCGTCACTGGAGCTTTGATTTCGCTGGTGATCAAAGTGGTTTTATTCTGGGGCCTTATCAGACTGGTGCACAGCTTTGGACAAGGCCTGAGAGAGAGAAGTGAGTACGCTGCCTGACGTCGCCACGTTTCTCTTTTTAGTCCTTCAGCAGTAACTCTGAGCACGAGGAGAGTATCTCTGTGGCGGCGTGTGTTTGCTGCATTTTTCCTCAATATACAGATGTGTGTGTTTATTTTGGCTGAAAAGAAACCAGAAGGCCAAGATGCTGCCGTTAACCTGACATGTTGTTGTTGTTGTTTTTACAGTGTTTGCATCCAGCTAGTCTTAACCCGTCAGGTCACACCTGCATGCTGAGTGCCTAATAACACAGTTAAGAAGCTTTAGCCGTGTGCCGCCGACCACGGAGCTCCGGTTTCAGCATTAACTCCACCAAACTGATCACTCTACTGTTAGTTTAGCCAAATGTGTTGTTTACTGAGTAGATTTTTTACTTTGGCCTGTTTACAGAATTTTCCGTAAATCAAGTTTATATTGTTTTCTGTTTACACCTGGTGTCTGTACCTGAACACTTTGCTGGGATGATGATGTCTGATCTACCTGCTATTAACATGCGTGGTCCAGATCGTACCCACAGTGTGAACGCCAGCCGGCTGATTTGGCTCATCCCAGGCAGTAGAGCTGCTGTTTGGACTCAAACGTTACTGCTGCTACCTGCAGCTTTTCTCACACTTCTTTTGATTCGGTTCCTTTCTTCAGAACATGATCACAGTTTCACATTTGGCTGAGATCTGATCACGATGGATCCCCGAATGTGGTCAGACTGATGTGATTCCAATCTACGTCTTACGTGTGTTTTCCCTTGTAGAGATAATTTACACAGATCATACTTTCAGAACGGATATAGGAAATATAGTTTTATACATTTCATCTACGACTACTAGAAGAACGCATGCCTTCTCACACACTGGGTTAACGAGGATTTTTAATGAGTGTATTTGCTCTGATAATAAATCAATCCAGCAGAAATGCATTTATAATGTAACTTTTTTTTTTACCTCAAAAGGTAATTTTTGTTTGTTTGGTGTAAATAATATTCGGGGTTTGACTGACTTTGATTTGCTTTTTAAAACTGTAACTGTCTTAAATTAGATCCTGTGATCTGTGGACTTCTGCTCTTTGGGATATTTTCATTATTAACTGATGTCTTTTACTGAACTTTATGCTGCACCTTAATGCATTCAAGTGTTTTTTTCATCCAAAGTTCTTAATAAAATATTAAAAGAAGATTGCTGCTTTGATTTATGACTCAGTGAAAAAGTGTGAAAATTTAATTCTTTG